CTCACAGCTGTAAAGTCAGGGGCCGCTTACCAGCTGTGCAGCCTCATCCCTGATTTTCTCATCCCATTCTCATCTCGGTCTTGAGGTACAGGGCCCAATTCCACCACCCTTACACAGGGTGTGTGGCCACTCACTACACAAGTAGCCCCACCGAAGCTGATGGTTGGCATAGCAAGCTGCCACTCAACGTGGACAGGTGTGGCAGGATCTTACCTGCAGTGATGATGTCTTTGAGATGAGCAGCCAGGCATGCTCAGGCTGGGCCTCTCCATAGGCACCTGGTGCTGGGCAGCCCGGCCCCTCTGACTCCTGACAAGCCAAATGCTGTGAAACTACCACATTCGGCAGCACAGCCCAAGAAGCGGAGCAGCCATGCAAGGATGGGGAATTCTGGGGGGTTTTTTCTCCCGGGAGATGGGGGGGGGGGCAGGAGCCAAAGGAGAAGGGCACAGAGAGAGTGGGGTTGCAGCCTGCACAGACCCACTGGCCAGAAACCCCCAATGGGGTTTAAATCTGCATCCGGCACCCTGCCTGTGGGTGTAGGGCCAGCTCCAGGCACCAGCCGAGCAAGCTCGTGCTTGGGGTGGCAGATTCTACAGGGCGGCATTCCGCCAAATCCTGGGGCGGCACGGCCGCTTTTTTTGTTTGTTTGTTTTTGTTTTGTTTGCCGATCCGGCCGGTGGCGCAGAGGAGGGGAGCGCCCTGCTGGGAGCGGGCTGCGCGCTCTGTCTGCCCCAGCCGGTGCCAGGTCTGCAGCAAGCCCGGCAGGGCAGCCCGCGTCCTTCCCTCCCCGCCGACCGGAGCGGCGCGGAGCCCTCCCGGCAGGCGGCACGGCGGTCGGGGCCGCGTGGCGAGCACCCCCACTGAAGCCCGGGCCGCTCCCCTTCTCTCTCTCCCCCCGCTCCCTTCCCCTCGCCCCCGCTAGCCGGGGCACGTCTGCAGCGCAGGGAGTCCCCCTGCACCCTGGCTCCGGCCATGCTGCAGGTTGGTTTTTTTTTTTTTTTTTT